GGAGTTGTTTGTAATTATATGTTCCATGTATGTTTATTTTACTATCTTATATTTTGCCTATCCATTTTTGCCACAAATGTACAAAACATATTATTAATAGTTAGTTACGATTATTAATTCTATGTTCGTTTTACAATCTCGCTTTTTGTCTATGATTCTTCCCGTAACTGTACACACGATCTCTCTGTAATATCGTAAAAAGTTATTTATAATTACTTGTTCCATTTCTATTTGTTTTACAATCTTGTCTATTGTCCATCCATTTTTGCCATAAATGTACGAGGTCTTCCTATAATATTATCATTTATTCTATCTGTGTTCGATTTACTATCTTGAATTTTGCCTAATCATTTCTGCCGTAAATGAACATATTATAGTTAAGGTTATTCATAATTATATATCTAATTTATGTTCGTTTTACTGTCTGGTATTTCGTCGATCCACTTTTGCTACAAATGTACAAAATCTCTATATAATATTATAAGGAATTATTTACAATTATATTAGTTCTATCTATATGTTCGTTTTATTATCTTCTATTTTGCCTACCTATTTTTGCCATATATATATATATATATACAAAATCTTTCTTTAATATTATCAGGAGTCGATGGTAATTTAATTACGTTTCAAGCATGTGCCATAATTTGAATGGCTACGGGGATTCTATCGTGTTTGTACATAATAGAAGCACAGCTGCGTCCGCCGGTGCAGGATGCACCCGAAAATATGGTGCATTTGGTGCACGTACACCCGAGGTGACTGGTGGCCCACCGCTAAATAATGCCAACGACTTCTCGATCTACTTACTGCAGGCTTTTTGCCAATGGCGCTCGCATCGCTGTAGGACGTAACCTTCATGTAAGGACTCGAAGCGGATATCGGCACGGTGATCATTTTTCCGCCCTTCGAGTTTCCCTCTCACTCCCATCGGCGGTGAAAAGATTCGAATTCGAGCGATCTCGCCGATTTTTCACCAACGGCCTCCGCAGCTCGACCGATTTTAATCTGACGGAGCTTCTTCCTCGACCGCTTCCGGTCTCCGTGATCCTTTTCCTCCGCGATGGATCTTTCCTCGATCTTCTCGAACGCCGACAACCAGGGCCTTCTTCTGCTTCACGGAACGTCACTATGCACCGAATGCACTCACGCTATTTTGTTTCGGTCTCGAAGTTCTGTTTATCTCTAGGAAAAATTGGCGACTGTTAAATTCCTGCATTTTTACGGAGATACGCGCGTTCGATAACTGGCTCTCGAATCGCGGGAATACGCAACGTATTTTACGTACGACCTTCTGTCGAAAATGGAAAAACGCGAAGTACGATATCTGGATCGTGAATTTTTCCGAAAACGCGATCCGATTAATCTCGAATTCGTGAAGCTATTTATTCTCCTCCGCCCGTGTTTATACGGCCGCTATAAATACCTGGGAAGTCCGCAGTCTAATTAGTATACTGCGGACTATTATGCAAATTCGCATTTTTATTGACCGATTCATGCAAATAAACTAACATCGTCGCGTCTCGAAATTACGCTTGGCGAAATTGCGCGCGAATTACGGCGAACATCGGTCAACATTCTATCAAGATAAATATCTGAGCAATGCAACGTACATCTTCGAGCCGCGAGTAAACAATAAACAAACGTCGATCCCCATCTATAACTAGCATCCTCTCGTCGCATATTCTCGTCTACTTTCGAAACAGCTGCGTTCCGTCCGTCGCGAACCAAAAAATCATTGTTGTAAACACTCTCGGTAAAATAAACTAAACCGGCGGTCTACTTTCACGGATCCACGAAAGTATGCCGTACTTGACACATATAAGAAATTTCGCTGCAGTCACGGCAAGAAACATTTTTCTGATAGGGGTAGCACCCGGAAATCGTCGGCTAACTTTCACAGACGAGGTCATCGCGAGAAGCGGACGAAATCGTTCCGCGAGTTTCTCGCGGAGTCACGACACCCCGATAGGCCAGTCCGTGGAATCATTTATTTTAGTGCAAACTTGGGACTACCTCCAAGGCTGTCCACAACAGTTGACCCTATTCCTTCTAAGCAGCCGGATCTCTTCAGAATTCGCCGAAGAAACGGGACGCGATCGATTTACCCTATACGTATACCGATCGCTCGGTCGGTAATGATTTGAGATCTAAATGATTTCAGATCTAGATGATTTTAGATCTGGACGATGTTAGATCTAATCGATTTCAGAACCTGCCGATCTCAGATCTAAACAATTTCAAATCTAAATGATTTCAGACCTAAACGATTTCAGGTCTAAATGATTTCAGAGCTGGACGATTTATATTCAGAATTCTCGAACAAGATTCGCGATTATAGCGTTCGCACTGTGGAAATTGCTTCACTGAATGGAATTTAATTGGGACCGTCACTCGTCAACCGGTTCCCTTCGGCTCGCGGATACGTTGTGTGTACGCGACGAGCTTTCGAGCAGCTGGGAAAACAAGGTTTGTTTTCAACGGCGCGAAGCCACGCGACTCGGCACCTTTACCGACGGACGAGCAAACATCGACTGACGAGCGTGCCGCGTCGCGACGGTTCACCAGTCGAATGGACCTCTCTTGATTGGCTGTCGCGCGGCTCCAGGTAACGCTAGTCCGACCGGATTATTCGCAACGAAATTGCAGTGGAAGGGCGGACCAAGTGTTATCGAACTGCGACTCCTGTCGCCAGACATTCTGTATCGTTATCGATGGATCGACCTCGTGGCGATTGCTCCCCGCTCCGTTGTTTTCTCCGTCGACCTTGGCCAGAAAACTACTTCGACTACAGAAGTGGAACGTGTGCCCCCTCTTTCGAAAATTCCGTTGCGAAATGATGTACAGGACGAGCCAGGATTAACGGCCGAGTTTCGTCAATGTATTATACGAAGTTTGGCCAAGTTCGACACCTTTCATACAGGACACCCCGTGTATTATAGCGAGAAGGATGGTATAGACCGATTCTACCGACAAAAGTGAGCCAAAATCGTTCAAAGAAGTTTTTTGGTACAGGCCTTAGTTTAGGAGATATTTGAGTTTGAATATCGCGAGTACACGTGCACTTGACGAGCGGGTACGGCGGGTCGCGGTCAGACGCAGTGGCGGGTACATCCTCGGGAATTTTTCGAACTCGTTCCTCTCGAAAACGAAGCACTGAATCAAAAAATCTTATCTTACGTTTTTTGTGCAATTTTTTTTACAGAATCTGAAACCTACCGATTTTTCTGTAAATATTGGAAATGTCTCTTAATATTTTTTTAATAAAAAGGAGATACAGTTTAGATGTAACACTAAACTTATTAAATACTAAGTGTCTAAGTGTCATCAATCATTTAATCGAATTAAAAATATTAATCGTTTGGTGTCCAATACTGAGAGAGATTCTAAGGTATATTGAAATTTAAAGATTTATTCGATCGTTCTCTGTAAAATAAGAATAATAATAATAAAATAATGCTCGAAAACTGATCGAAATTCGAGGTTTCCAGGACGTCGGTCATTTAGTATATTAAGAGGTAAATGATAAGAAATTAAGTAGGAGGGCCGGGCATCGTTAAGTCTGTGTGCCGATCTATCGGCATCGATATTAATTTCTTTCAGCTCGTTCGTCATCGAGAAGACAAACAGGGAGATCCGCAGGGGATTGTAAACATAATTATCCTTCCGCCATTAGACGCACAGGAGGTTAAACATTGAAAAGGATATAGGGGACATTCGATGGGAAGAAGTTTCCCTCGGCAACCTAATCAATCGACTTCGAATTATTTATACGAATACACATTTTTCTGAGCCGATGCAGCGACGATATAGAATTTCACCAAAGTTTCTTCAAATATTTGTCTCAGCGCGAAGCTGCAGAAGTTAATGAATACGTTGCCGTTCTTTACACTATCCAATTAGTAAACTCAACGTAACGATAGAGATATGCGTCGTTGGATTACAAACAACATTATACACCTGCGCGCAACAATTACGGATAATTTAAACATTAATTTTCGCGTCGAGATCCAATTCGATTAACGCCAGGCGTCTACGTAACGACGAATTAAAGACGACGGCCAAAGGCTGCCGAGCCAATCAGACGCCGAGAGTTGTTCAATTATTTATGGCGGCCGGTGTTTAACGTTTTGGGAAACGAACGCCGCCAGTTTGTTAAACAATGGCCAACGAAAATTATTCATCGGGAGAATCAACGACGGTGTCGTAATTGCGCCGCGGTATTCCGCGATAAATATGGATAGGCGTTGATTTTCACACAATAAATCGCGGTGAAACTTTTCTAATTGAATTTTGAGGGATTTATGCGATTGTTTCCTCCTTCGGTTTCGCGGAGATTGCAGGCTCGGTTGATTGTTCACGGTGAGACCCGCAGATTCAATGATAAACTCCACCCCTTCCCCTGGGCGTTATGATAGTAGGGTGACTAAGAGTTTTATATTCTCTTAAAATTCCTGACCACGGAAATATCTTTATACAAGGTGATTCATTTGTTCACGGTTTTATCGTTGCATACTCAGATACGAGACACAGCGTTATGGTTGTGCAACGGCTGTTGTAGGTGATCGTATGCGTCAGGAAGCGGCTGTTATCTCCGCGTTTGCGGACGTCTGTTCATTTATAGTACAGTTTCGTAAAAAGTTGTAATAATCCTCGATAAAGATCTCGACGGTATTTTCTTCGTAATAAAATTCCTAACGGTAGGGAATGTTCGAGACTCGACCGTGAAAACGCGAGTTTGCATGATCGTTCACAGTCAACATCCTAAGAAGTCATCCTAGTCGATCGTAAAGTACGCAGAGTGCCGCAATGATTACGATCTAAAAAATAAGTTGAAAAATTCGTGATCGAAAGCGTAAAATATAAACGTTCTACGAAGCTTTGTTCCGATAGAGAAGCGAGCTAAAACGTTATTCCGATAAAATTTGTTTCGAAGAATTGATTCGAAACGTTGTTCGGTTAACATTTTATTCGAGAAATTTGTTGAAAACATTATTTGGATAAAATTTTATTCGATATATTATAAAATGTTACATATTATTCAAATGTTATTCGAAATATTATTCGAATAGAATTCAGAGTTGCACCAATCCAGTTGCACCCTAATTTCTAATTAATGTAATTTAATTGCTTAGCATTTTGTAACTGTATTCCAACTGCAATTACGAATTACAATTTAATAGAATGTAACATAATTTATATAAATTATTATTATTATTATTATTATTATGTAATTGAATCACTTTGTAATGATAATTCCCTGAGTAAATATCAATTGTAATTTCGTACAGCTCTGGGTCCACTGTATCAGTATCCGAAAGTAAAGAAATTCTTCGCATCGACAGGCGCAATATTATCTGTGCATCAATGCGAAAATCGAATTGAAATTAAACCGAACGCGTCGGACACAATTACCGTCCAACATAGCCGTAAAGAGCGGAATTCTTCGCGAACGAACGAACGATTCCCGAAATATTAATTCAGCATTGTCGGGTGTAGTATAATCGGAGAATTTCGAGCGTTTATTTCGCGCAGCTCGGCCGGTGGTCGGCCGTAAGCTGACGATAAAACCCGTCGAATATCTCGGTCACGTAGCGTAATAAACAATCGCGCCGGCCGAACGATTATAAACATTCCTGCGCGGCAATTCCGATCGCAGCTCTCTGTCGCACGATAACGAGGAGACCGCGACACCGCGTGCAGAGTCTGCTCATACGTGACACCTTTGCTTTTTCGCCACGCGATTCCCGCGAGCGGACAGCTCGCGTGCCTGCACACTCGCCGCATTTTACAACGATCTGCAAGGGAAATGAGGCCGTACTCCGGCCGATCCGACAGCCCTCGACCCCTGCTGTCCAACTAATACACCGATTTTCTTTCGCGATCCAGCCACGACCCTTCAACCCTCCGAGCGTCAGTCGTGAGCTTGCGAAAAATTACTGCGCTAAGTGCACTTCAACCATTTGCATTCCGATCTTTCCCACTAGGTTAATTTCCACTTCTTTGTCATTAATATATTCCTAGACGAGACAAAAAATTGATATTTGTTGGCGGAAAATCCTTGCTGTAATGCTTAAATGTTGATAACAGAAGGGTAGAATTTTATATTTTGTGAAATTAACTTCGTAAATAAAACCGACTAGACCAATAAACAAAATTGTGATGACATTGGAAGAATTTGAGAATATTTTTGTATCTATAATTTAATTTTAATTAAAGTATATTTTATATTTTAATGTTGTTGTTAACTTGTTAAAATGGTTAAAAGAAAGAAAGACATTTTCATCTGCCTTACGTTTCCCACAATCAACTTAGGCGATTTTTATTTTGCATAAACATCCACGGTCTAATAATAATTACTCCGCAAAATGTATCTGATCTCTTTGCACGACGATTTATCTCACAGCTCAGTTCATTGACACTACTGAGTCACCAATAAATTTCTAGACGAGAATGACAATTTATATTTAATGCGTGTCAAACGTTGTTGTATTTGTTTAAATGTTAACAATAGATGAACAGAATTTTAAAAGAAGCGTGTAACATAATTATTGCGCTAACTACACTTAATTCTTTGCACCACGATTTCGTTAGAATAATTGGCAGTTCTTTGTCACTAATAAATTCGTAGACGATTAAAAACATTTAGATTTGTCGTTTGTCAAAATTTGCTACAATGCTTAAAATATGAATAACAGTAGAAAAGTAGAATTTGATTTCTACTTCAGCATGTGGCATCTACATACCTGTATATCTAGTTCCTTGCGTTACATAATTTCCGTAACGAGTCTAACACCTTGTTCTAGTGCAAAGGGGTAATTGCATCGTTACACTGCTTTGGAATCTTACACGTTGATTGCATTGTTAACAAGTGTGAAGGTGTGTCGGCTCCAGGATGTATTTCCGTATTGTTTAACAGCTTGCTGTATATTCAATTCGTGCTTTTGTTATTTTCCTTCACTTATAATTATGATATTTTAAGCTATTTGAATTTGTTTCTACCATGAGGAATATTCTAGTGAAATTTCGTCCCTTAGCTTTCTCTTTACACAAGTTTCTATTTGCTTGCTATTAGATCGTGGATCTCGGTGCATTTATGGCACTTGTAAATGTGTGAAGTGTAAGTGTACCGAAATTTTTCCCGCATTAGGTGTATTTAGTCTTTCGTTTCCTCACTGTTTAACACCTTCTCACATATTTATCGCGTTATTTCATTAAACGAATTTCTTTTTGCTTGCAAACTTGGGAAAGCATTTTTCGATTTATTTTTACCGTGAAAATTGTTCTATGCAACACAATTTCTCTGCGTTTTGTATTTTATGAAATAATCTCTAAATGAACCAAACCATTTAATAATAATTTCGCAATGATGGATCATGGATCATATGATGGATCACTTGAAGATCCTGATCCCAATAATGACTTACAAAAAATGTAAAATAATTATAGAGCGGTTATAAAAACTTGTAAAAAATTAGAATAAATCATCATAAATTAAGCGAACATAGAGTAAACATGGAGTGAATTATGACCAGCAGTAAATATAGATTGTCGTTAAATTGTGCCCTACATTTATCATTTCTCGATAGCAGAAACGTTTTAAAAATTACGAAACCGATAACAAAAAAAAAACTAATAGAATGTGAATCTATTAATACGTCTGCTAATACATTTGGATAGAGCCTGTTTCAATGGGGAAAAAGTGTTTATCAACAGGCATAATTGATCGATACTACTTGATACTAATTGATCGTCTAAGCTGCATAGTCTGAGCTGATCCCGAGGCCATCGCGAAGCCCGAACAGGTCTCCTCGGCAACTTGCAAGAAGAATTTCAACGGCAAATGAGTGACCCGTCCACACTACTAACAATGAGTTGCAACATCGCACAGACATCGGAAACTCCGTTGCACAGGTCGGTTCCAAATAAAGCTCGTGCAACTTCGTCGCGAAGTCGCGATCGCGCAGTGGTCTGGAACGCGGTGATTTTTGGCCAAAAGTGAATTTCTCAACCACAGTTGAACATTACTCGAATTATGTCTGCGAATAAGATTTTATTTGAGAAATATTTCGAATATATTCTTCCAATAACATTTTATTCGAGCAATATTCCGAATAAATTCATCGAATACATTAAATAAAACAAAATTGTGAAGAATGACTTTTCCTTTACGTTATTTTAGTAAATCTTTTGAATAATACCTCGAACAAAATTTCATTGGAAATATTCTGAGAATTTAATCGATATATTTCTCGAATGACATTTTTTATTCGAAAAATGTATGGGCAATATTAACGGATTAAAATTTATCCGCAATTTTATTAATTCCACCAGTATCTGAAGTAAAATCACGATCTCTGAAACGTTCATCTTGTTCCAGATTATACCTATTTCATTCGCATGATTTAAAAGGATCTAGTAGCCCGTAAATAAATAAGTAAATAATAATAACAACAACAACAATAATATTAATAATCATATTAGTCGAATAATATCAAATTCTGGTAAAGAAATTAATTTTTGGCCACGAATTGTCTCGTTCCAGACCACCGTGGATCGCGAAGAAAATCATCGCTCCCTGTATTTTCGTGATTTCGTTTGGAAACTAGATGTCGTAAAACTGTTGCTGCGATCGTTGCGTGCCAAGAGAACAAAATCAGTGAATCTCGCTGTTTGTATCCAGTTTTGACAGCGGCGATATTGTTTCGAGTTTTCGTGCTCTCGGCGGATTGTTTGTCCTCGCTCGACTATTATTAACCGTCGAACGATGAAGAGGTCTCCGGCTGATTAAAATGGCCGACGCGCCTGAGAAACCGATGGCGAAGGGAAGAACACCGTAGTTGGTGGACGTAAAACGCGAGACTCCGGTCGAACGGTCAAAGTGTGCGCGAGGGATCTTGTGGACTACCGGAACTGTTTGCGCAGGCAGCGTCAGATAATGTTTCAAGGACGAATCAGGTGGGCGTTGGATCTACATTGATCGGTCGAGAGGTGGCGGTGAAATCCGCGTTTGTCTATAACACCTTCTCCCGACGAACTAATTAAATACGAACTAAACAAATAGAAACTAATTAGACACGAACTAATTAAATACAAACTAATTAAATACAGACTACTTAAGTACAGACTAATTAAATGCAAACATATTAAATACAAAATACTTAAATACAAAATTAATTAAATACGAACTAAATAAATACGAATTAAGTAAATGCGAACTAAGTAAATACAAACTAAGTAAATGCAAATTATCTAATGGCAGCTAAACAGCTCCATTTAAGAAGACTGGAAACTCTTTCGGTTATTCCATTAGGAAGTGTCGAAAATCGATCCCAAAGATTCTCAAACCAACTATTTTATATTACTTTACTAAAAGTAACAATAAACAGTGAGAATGAATAGTAACAATAAATAGTGACAATAAATACTAACAATAAATAGTGGCAATAAATAGTAGCAACAATACAGTGCAAACTAACAAATTTAATGAACAAATTTGTCATAAATTTATGTTTACAATCGCGATAAACCGCCATTTTTTGCGGTTCCGGCAAGCCTAGTGTCAAAATTTCTCTAAGAGATCTAGACAAGTTTTGTTTCTTTTTTTAATGTCTTCTTTTACTGTCATTTCATAGATTTTAATACCAGAAGAATTAAATTTCGTTTCGTGTTAGAAGAAACGAGTGATCTTATATGTATTCAATAAATCATGTGTGAGATTTTCATCAGAAGTTTGACAAGTTGTTACAGAGCAAGGGGTTAAAGTAAAAACGTGAGACGGCAGACTAGCAAAAAGCAGAGCTCGTACGTGCGGAATTATGTAAATTCCAGGTTCGCAGACGCATTTGCCAATGAAAAGAACCATCAATGTGAGTGACTGTCGACGTGCTGGCGCAAAGAGGTTTACCGAAGCTGCTCCGCCGGAGTAATTTTACATCGGACGATCATCTAAGCAGAGATCAGCGAGCAAACACGACGATTCGCACGACAAAATGCGCCGACAAACACCTGTAAATTACCGGCCCGCCAACGGGATCGTAAAGTTTGGCAGAAACACAGATCTTTGGGACCGCGAACTGTTTATCTCATATTTTTAGCCGCGGACAGTCCTCTATTTCAGTGCCTCGGGATATTATCGACGCATCGATCTAATAAAACAGCTGCTTCGATTACATCGAGGCGGATATAGATTCCGGTGCATTCTGATTTACACAATTGATTAATCATTTTACTTTATTTTATCTTCGACGAAAATTAATAGATCTAATAGAAAACTGTACAAAAGATTAGAAGAGAAGTGCTTTAAAACTTTGCGAGAAAAAATCACAACCAAGTTTCTTTTTTCTCAATTAAATGCTTGTATTTTATTTGTGTTTAATTTATTGTTTTTTACTCTATTTTATTTTATTTCCTTGTTTTGTTTTCCTATTTTATTTTATATTTTATTGTTATTTAATTTCATACATTTTCCACCGATTTTGGACGAATACCCACGTGTTACACACTCGAGAAGAGCGATCTACCGATGAAACACTCAGTCGATCACGGTGCAGAGCTGGATTCTGGCGACTGTAAATGTTCCAGGAAGAGGCGAGCAGCGTATTTTTACGTAACAAAGAGGCGTTCGATTCGAAATCCACGGGGGATTGACGGCAACTGGCCCGAGGCGAAATTTCCGCGATGCGCTTGCCGCTTTCGAGCTCGTTTGCGCAACACTCGCTCCGCGATACAGTTTAGCCGGCTTCGAATTCGAAGCAGAGCCTGGGGAATATAAAGGAAAACAATTTCCAGCGAAAATAAACGGCGTCGCGATGCGCAACTCGGAAAAGAAGCTGCGAGCTGCGCGATATACAGTGTCTCTGTGACAAATAACAGTGTAATTGCTTAAGGGAAATGGAAGTTCCGGAGCAACAAGTACATTCGAAGGAACTCTTGGAGTCGGTGCTTTTCCAAGATGGCGGCGGAAGCTTCTCTGGGACTTTTGCTTTCTGCGTTGTGGAAACTTGTGAAATTGGTAAAATTGTGAAAGTTGTTCGGAGAGCAGTAATCTTATAAGAATTGAAGAGAAATTGTAGTAATTGTAGTAAGCTCTAGAAGTTTCTAAAATGAATGAATGCGATGAATATAATGAATACAATTAATCTTTTGCACTCGGATGTCGCCGATACAAAACTATGACGACACGATGTATTTATGTTAAAGTGGCATCTCTTTTTAATTATTTTTCTTCATATTGTAAGGTGATCACGTAATATGCATAATGAAAAACAAAATCTTTTATTTATCAGCTCCTATAAAATTTCCCAGCAGCATAATGATTTTTCTTTCAATTCGGCTCTGTACGACGAAATCTCAATGATTGCAAAATCTGTTCCAAGTACAAAGGATTAATAATATTCCTACTTAAATTAAATCGCCAAACATCTTTCAGTCAATGGAAGAAATATGTTTCTACATTTGCAAGATGTAGAAACTAAATAGCAAGTTCGTTATTTTTTTAATCGTTTTTAACAAATTTAAAGACCGACATTTAAAAATTCCTTTAATATTATTACTATTTTGTACATTTTTCTCATAAATGCATAAAATCTGCAATCCAGTGATAATATTAGAAAAATATATATACATATAGCTATGTGTTAAATTTAGAATTGCTTGTTAATTAAAATAAATAATATAATTTGGTCCTAATACAAAAGTGTGAAGTGAAATCAACTTACTATTCAGTTTTGTTAGAAGTCATTTCCAACGGCTGAATCGCTTCAATAATTTCGTCAAGGATCGTGCAGTTACAGGACATCGTTTCCGGTTACAAGAATCGGTTTCGATAGTATCCGGAATTTTCAATGAACCAGTCTCGAATATTCCTAAACGAGGATTTTCAAGGAGCAAGGTGGTGATCTAAAGGTCTGGACGAGTTTTCGCAAAGGGCAATCCAGGAAATGATCTCTCGCCTCGGTGGAGCCACTTAATTGGAGTTTAACGAGCGGCCCAGTTGGCCGTGAAAAACGTCTCCGTCGCATCGATACGGCCAGAAGAGGAGGTGGAGGAGGATGATCTTGGTGCAAGTGCAACGGTGTACGGCCGATAATTGCCGCTTGCGATTATCCAGAATGAAAATCGCTCTTGCGTCGGGCGATGCGAACGTTGATGCAATCCCGTGAACCGGTTCCCGAACCGACAATCTGTTATTTTTCATTAACACCGTCCCGATCCGATCGGCCACGAATCCGTTTGAGACATCGCAAGCGTTTGCATAAGGAATCTCGTGCGGAAATTGATTTCGAACGCATATGTTCCAATCTTGTTCATCTAGTTTGCGAGAAAAATAATTTATTGCAATTCAATACTAAGCATGCCTAAATAATGAAGTTTAAAGAAAAAGGCATTTAAAGTTCTATCTTCCTAATAATAATTTGGCAACTATGTACTTGTCAAATGTCGAATAATACATATATGGCAATCGAGCATAAAAAATTTAAATAGCGCGAAATTTAGAAGTAATATTATAAAATGAAGACTCCTTATAAATTCAATTAAATTCTTCTATTAGTTCTGATCCAATGAAACTATTACAAGAGGAAACACAGTTTTCTGTTCCTCAAGATCGACATACAATATTTTATTTCGCTTAGGTTTCGTTTATATCGCTGACTCGCGATATTGCCAAGTAATTACTCGTAAAATGGATCAAATTTTCGATTAGATCGTTCACAAAGTTACCAAAGCGAAATTTAAAATCAAACGTAGAGGCCTAAGGCAATTTGTATCGTTAGGATGTCGGTTTGGCGCAGTTTAGCTGTAAGTGGCTTGTTGAGAAGGATTTCGAGGATAGTGGTAAATATACCGAGAGGATTTAAATGGCTGCACGCGATCAACGCGGTGGCGAAGGAAACGCAAGAAAAACGTAACAGTATCAGGTACCGGATTCTATAAGCTTTACCATCGCCGGGGTAGAACAGTTTAGTATCTCGCGACCGCAGTAACAATATCCGGACTCCGCCATGGAATGCAATAAGAACACCGGCGCGTGCCAATGAACCATGAAAGGTCCTTTCATTCCGATTCCCTATTGTGATTGCGCAATCCTGATAATTGCATCAGCCGAGATCTTGTTCTTTTTTCTTCCGATTAGACTTCCTATCGCTGCGCGATCGGACAGACATTCCCGTCCACCAATAAGACCAATGAAAAGATATCGATCGATTGAAGACCCGACTCCTTAATCGTCTCTTGTTTTCGCAGAGAAGACTTCATTGAGCTGCGAGAACAATTTTTATACTTTTTGGAGCGACGAATTGGAAACTATGGTTTTTATCCACTTGCAACAGAATCAATGCACTTTTCCCGATCACTAATTGGTTGGCAAACCGAACAAAAGATTTCAAGCAATTGAAACAGTGGTTTTAGTGGACTCTGTCGAAATAAAGTATTGCAGAACGTACTTGTAGAATAATGTAGACACGATTCTTTAGCTGCAAACTGTACGAGGACAATTATGTGCCATTTTTGTATCCAGAAATGAAAGAATCAATTGATAGACAATTTTTATTGGATACTTTTTGTTACAGAAAGTATTATATGAAATATTTTTACAAACATGTTGACAGGATTCTTTAGTTACAGATTATAGGAAAACAATGATGTACCATTTGCTGTACTCAAAAATATAGTAAACAATTGAAACGGAATTTTTAGATGATTTGAGAAGAAGTTGCTACTAAATTAAAGGAAAAATGTTCACAATATTCTAGAAATCCATTTTTCCACCTGAAAAAATATGCACGAATCAATTCCGAAGGAAATTGTAATTGAAACGTATTAATTTTAACGTAAAACAAACATCATATCTTTATCTGATTTCAATTAAAATCTCTTTGATTTTGCCACAACTTCGCTTAATTCGATTTAAAGAGGAGTCTTCGCAATATCCGATTTCCATAAAAATTTCTTTGATTTCTCCACAACTTGGTCAATTTGCTGCACTGTGTACGTGACAACGGTCGTCGAAGTGTTGAAATTCCTCCGTGGTCGGCACGTTTGACGGGCCATTCGACAAGTGCATTCTGGCTCGGCGCAGGACTAAGGCATTCGTCTGGATCGAGGAAAGTACTCCGTGGATCGGTTATCGTCGTCACGTACCATAAAATCGATGAAGGGAACGTGATTAAACTGTTGCCGCGGTATCTTCGGCACGAGGATCCCGCGTACTCGAGGATGCATCAGTCAAGGACATCGGCTGATAATCTCGCCGAGAAAGAGGTCCATTCTGCTTCAACGAGCCGGCACAGCAACGGAGTCTTAAATAATGCAATAATCGCGCTCTATTGATAAGGGCCGCCGCAGGAGCGAAAGAGACCGACCATTATTTACCTGACGCTTTATTTCCACCTAAGCTGCTCTTGTCTCTTCTCGTCTCGTTTCGTCTCGTCTCGTCTCTCGCGCCCGTTCGAACGGGCTCGCGTTACATCACTTTAACCCCGTTTAAACAGCGAACGAGATCTTCCTTTACGGGCCGACACAGCCTTTTTTCCCTCCCTAACGACGCCGCGTTGGGTAATCCATGCGCAATTATCGAGCCTCGAAGGATTGTTTATGCGGATTCAGATTGATCATGCCAACCACAGGGGACCGGTTGCGACGATCACGCTTTTTCCGCCGGTTTTTCTGCCGGAAAAATGACAACCTTATCCCACTCGGCTCTGACCCCGTCGCGATCTTTACCTCGGCTTTTAATATGCTAAGTTCGAGTGATTTATCGGCTGTCGCGGTGATCCGACGCTTCTCAAGTCTCCCGACGATTTTCCTTTAAACGAGGGAACTTTGGAACGTGGGTGATTAGGCTGCGGTTCTTTATGCGACCACACAGTAACTAAACATTGGGAGGATACGTACAGAGTACTAAACGTGTCTGATATGTGTTGTTTTATTAAAATGTTTATATTTAATATAATATATATATATTATATTATATTATATTTATTATAATATGCGATTACACGGAGACATTCATTCAATTATTTCTTATCGAAGAGTTTATAATTTCGACAATTTTATAAGAAATTGTGAACGATCAACATCGTAGGTTTAGTGTTCAGATCGAATCCTTTTGAAGCTCCAATTGTTCAGCATTTCATTCATCTCTAATTTATATAGATACATCGAGAGACACTGTTGTTGTTTAGATATTTTCTGAAAAATATCATTATCGAGAAAATTATTCTGTCAGTCTATGTCCTTTCGATGTTCTAATTCTTTTGTATTTCATTTAACCCTTTTTATTGCAAATACAACCAGAGCCACGGTATAGTTCTTATTTCTTAAATATCTTCTGAGAGAAACCATTGCCAAGAACATTATTTTGTTA